GTTGAGAAAAATAGTCAAATATCGAAGGTTGAGTTATTTTTTCCCTCAAGCAACTACAATTTTAATCAATCAAGGTTGCAAGGAGTGGACATGCACAACTATGTATGCAAGTCCCAGCTTCAGTTAGAGAACAAAGCCCTGGGATCATATTAGGAGTCTTAGAAGCCAACTAGCGGTGCCTTAGCTCATATTAGGAGATTTCAACTAGGTCATCTCTAGCTCATAAATTCGTGGGTGTCACTTCTCTCCTTCTCATGCCTCCTAGTTGGTTTAGCCTATGAATGATTGTTCCTTGATGGACCTTGGCTCTAAAGGTCTTAGATACACCTAGTATCATAAACAACTAGGCATAATGATGGCTAAAAGGCTTGATAGAATGGTTTGCGAGACATTATGGCAGTATTTCTTTCTAAAAGCTTTTATAGAGATTGTGTTGGATTATTCATATCATTGCCCTATCCTTGTGCAATGTGGTGGTCTAAAAGATAAGTAAAGAGATTGTCCATTCCATTTCCAAGCTACTTGGTCTACACATAAGGGATTTGAAAAGGTGGTCCGTGAGGCTTGGATTAAGAGCACCCCTAACCTTGCTAATGAATTGAAAGTTGTCAAGACTGATGCATTAGAGTTTATAGTTTAGGGTTTAGGGTTTTTGTTTATAGTTTATAGTATTGAAAGGAGAGGGTACATTTTCCTTATTTTTGGTTTATAGTTTGATATTTCCTGTATTGTTTGTAACCATTGATGGGAATAAGTAGAAGTTTGCTGCACTCGTCATATTTATTTTTTAATTTGTGTATTTTGTATATGAAACTTTTATAATTTATAGTATGAATATTAACAGCAAATCAACTCTGTATTTTCAATTTTATGCAATATATTTTTGTTGAATATTGGCTCCCTCCTATGTTACTTATCAACATGAATGCACAGGATAGCTTTTCTGCAAACCTTTTTAACAAGAATAGTAATCAAATCAGTCAAAGAAACTAGCTCCTAAACACATTCAAGCCACAACACCTAATGATCATTCATGATCCCATGCTTATTAGGTGTTTGGAAATATTTTAGATAATCCTAGGCCAAAAATTAAAAAATAAAAAAAAAAAGTAAATTGCATCATATATCTGTTAGAGGCTAGTGCCATCAATTTATCTATGTGGCTGACTCACCTAATGGCACATGGATGCAATGTTTGCTGTAAACCATGAATGTAAACGAATACCAAATATTGGTGATGAATCTGTTTAGAGATATATAAAAAATTCCTCAGTCCCTGTATCTAATTGCTTAAGCTTTTAGGATAGTTGATTCTTAACATAATATTAAAGTTGTGACCAAGTGGTCAAGAGTAGCTAGAATTCACAAAATGACCAACACAATTCAATATATAATATAATAATGTGAATAAAAT